TTAGGTTAGGTTAGGTTAGGTCGCTCGCTGCACTAATTAAGAATGCACGCGACTCGTGCACCAAGATCGGTTCATTTTCACGTCGCAAAATTGACCGTGGGCGCAATTTCGTGAATCCATCCGTCGTCATACGCTTCCTGCTCATCATTCCACCATTACGCACGCGGCAATTACGATTATTACAACCACTGTCACGAGTTACGCAATGCACATGACCTGAAGGAAATTGCACATTTACGTGGACTTAATTACAAATTACAGCTTCAACAAGTTCAAGTGGCACAACAAAAGAAACACAGTTCCCATTCAGTTATTGTTACATTGTGAATCATCAACGTTCAATCATAAACACCAAAGATATACTTTGTGTATTTAGTAATAAGCATAGAAACATAATTAATTGCATTATTTTCATTATATTATTAATATTTCTATTTGTCAAAACTACTTTATATATTATGTAAATATGTATGTGTGCTTTGACTAATTATTAATATGGGTCAAATAATTTCAGTATAAATATTACAAAATTTAAATTATTCAGTTATTCTTTACGTTAAGTTTTTTTTTTGATTAAATCACAAAATATTAAGTTGACCTCATTGCTATTTGTCTACTTAACCTAATGCCATGACTATACGCCCACTAGATACTACCAATCCTTCGCAAAATTGAGCCACTCTTAAAGAATGTTGGAGGTGTTCAATTTTGAGGAATGCTCGCTCAATGACCGAGATTATATCTTCATCTCGAAAATGCCATCAAAATAAATTATTAAAGAATATGGAATTAATTGGTTATCAAAATGTACCATTTGGGAAACACAAATGAAAAGTACAATGTCAAAATTTAAATATCAATATAATCGTGAGATATAAAAGGTTGAAAACCACTGGTAAAATTATTTAGTGGAATTGATGATCACAAAGTAGAAAGGAGTTTTGAAGCGGCTGAGAATATAGAAAATAGTATGAAAGGTCATAGGGAAATTTTATAAGAAAAGTGAAAGTCAGTTTTACCAGTCAAAATTCATAGCTTCTTTTATAACCTACATTCATCTACTCATGTAAAATAAAAATAATTCATTACAATATTATTATTATTGTTGATACACACTGACTTGGAAAACTCTTAATGCGTACTACTACTACTACTATTGCGTATCTAATGTAAATTATTTTATGTACAGGTATGTCTAAGTCACGACGAATCACAGCTTATTTAATCCTTATTGGGCCACAAAAAGAGTGAATTTGGAACACTAGAAAAGAAAGTAACAAAAAAAAAATAGTTGCCGCTGCGAATCATATAGCCAAACGCAAAAAAAGAGGGATCGGCAACACGAGGTTTTTTTGCGTTCTTAACAAATTTTATTGGTTGTACCGTTCGGGTCGGCCCGCAAACCATTGTTTTTATTCAAATCTAAACCAATCGACAAATGGCCACGAAAATTAGGGCGTTTCGTTTCAAACCTATTGAGAGGAATATCTAAATATCTTCTAGCAAACCAAAATGTAACTAGATAAATAGTTGATACCGAATAAATTCTCTAGGTCTATACTATAATAATAATAATATGCATGGTTATTTTCATCATTTATTGAATTTGCAAATATATTTCAGAATAAGAATGCAAAAGCAACATAATGCTGAATGTATGAATTCAAGATAAAGAATTAGTTCGAACATTCAGTATTCGTGAAGTTTCCAGTTACAGTAATCTGTGAACGTGCAGGTGACGTTAATGACTTGAGTCGTAACAGACCACAAGTAATGCAGCACAGAGACTGAGGCTACAGAGGTAAAAGAAAATAAGGAAATAATAATAATAACGTGAATTTTTCTTTGCAGCTTGTTTGTTTTTGCTCTTAGAGCGCATTTTGCAATGGTCTGGCCGTGAATGCGGCATCAGCATCACAGGCTGACTCACGAAGGAAGGGGTTGGAGCGAGAGGGAAGCTGCAAGATATATATATATGTATATATATACTAGAAATTGGAATCCCGATTCCGTGAATCGACCGGAATACAGTGACGCAATCGAGGACGTCGGACCAATCGGAGGCCGACGTACATCCCCCCCACCATCGGCGATTCCGGTAGAACTCGCGGAGTCCGGCGCGGACCCCAAAAACCGGATCATTCCTAACAGATTTCGCGTACGCGACGCACACTTCGAGGAACCGGAAGACGAGAGAGACACGCGCAACGTTTCCAGAATTTTTTCTAAAAAAAGTGTTTCATAAGGTGATCATTATATTTAGTGGATGAGTGCGATCATTTCTTTGGATTTTTATTTTGAACGATAGTATTTGTTTGAACAAGGTAAGGTGTATACCATTTTCGCGATTCTTAAATCAATAAAGAAAACACTGATAATAATAATAATGTTATCTCTGATCCTTATTTGTTCCTGTCTAACTACAGAACTCTGTCTGTGACTCAAAAAAGAACGAACATATTGCAATTATCAATTTCCCTGATCCAACTTACTTTTACAAGACAAACAACGTCCGTGCATGTAAGTAACGTTCGTTACACTCCCTTTATGCAGAAATGTTACGTAACATTTTCAATTCTAGATGAAAATGTTGTTTTTTTTTAAATTATTATTATTACCTCAGCCGCACAAATAATAGTGAAAACACTATTCGATTAGTGAAAAGATTTCTTTTCCTAATTGAATCGATTTCACTTTCTCGACAAAGATTATTAACAATAAAATATCTTTATCGCAATTTACTATTTAACGCCCGAGACCTTGGACGTCTTACAAAAATCCACTTAACTTCCGACGATACTTGTTTGCGGCTTTGAACACGTTATAAAATAAAAAGTAAATAAAATTTCAAAGAAAAATATAGAAATAATTATGACAAGACACATGGAATTGTTAATAATCCTATTTGTCATATCTAAATTAAAAAATCAATATAGATTTTTGTTGATTTGTGTTTATAAATCCTCTTGGAATTAAAATTATTAAAAAGGTAATGTGGATTTTGGAATTGTAAGCATATGCATAAGTAAATCAATAAAAACGCTGCAGTTAAATTAACCTTCAACATCATGTATTCAAGTGTTGCATTCATGAAATATTTGTTGTTTTGGATTTAATAATTTCATCTTGTAAAATAAGCGTCGAACGATCTAATTGGTAAATTAGACCGAACAATTGAAAACAATACAGGTGCTAGACCCCGTTCTGTTTTCAATGTTCCCCCTACGAATTAACATTTTAACTGTGGTCATGGTGCATGGTTATCTATGGTAAACAAAAAAAAGAATTACCATCGAATTGAATAACGGATTAAACGGAATTTAATGCGGAGGAGGGTTGAGGCCGAAACGAGTACGCATATTATATATCATAAGCATCAGGTTGCCACCGGACATCAGTTCTGTTTAATTGTAATACTTCTTGCTAAAAAGAAAAAAGCCATATCGCATAATATTATAACTATGAATAAGTGTTGCATGCATACTACAACTAACGTAATCCAACGCCAGTCACGGACTCTGGATTCTTGCAGGCTCACTATTTTTTTTTCTTCTTTTCTTCATCTCTAGACGTAATAACCACGCTCCAGTTAGGAACAGGCGACGAAAAATGTATAAAGTCAAACCGTTATTATTATTTTTTTTTATTTTGTTCGTTTCGTGATGATAAGACGTTTTGCCCTGGCAGTAAATTCTTGCGCCACGTAAAATCAGCAACAGTCATAAATAAATGGCGCGAAGCGTTGCATGACAAAACGGCGAAGGAATATATGTTTTATTTAAATTTTACAATATGTTTAATGCATTTCGCGTAAATAAATTATTCCCGTCGAAAATTTCAATGTATTGTTGAGGCCGTGAACGAGGGCAGCGGATTGCGTAATTGAGATTTTACTTGGAATCTACTCATAAATTAGTTAATTGCTTTCGTATTTGATTTTTTATGCTTATATCACATGACATTCTACATATATGAAATGTTGAGTAAGTACAGAAATTCTTTGCGGTTTGCGAACAAAATTAACTAAGAACATGTAGTAAAGAAGAAAACGAGATAAATCCTTCCTCAATCAAGTTCAATGGTAATATGCTAAGTGAACACACTGTTGCCGTCATCCACCTCGTGTCATAAAGATAAGATCGAGTTGCGAGTTAAATTGACGTGCTTGGATTTATTGCGTTACTGACCGCATTATAATAATCTACCCTAAAAATCTGAAACGAATTTAAATATAATTTCATAATAAAATGTTGGCAATCGAGTAACGAACCGTGTTTTTACATTAAACAACGAAAAAAAGAATAGGTTTCCTTCCAGTTGCTTTGGTCGTACGATCCGCTTTTCCGTTACATCCGTCAGTCTCCACCAGTGGATTACTTTGAAATGTGTTTGAGCTTTAGTTAGTTCATTGTATGCTGATTTATAGAGGACAAAAGCACGGAAGGGGTTGTCCCGTATTCAACTAGATGCACAGATTCGAAGTGTGAAGACTTGCTCGATCATCTGCATATTTAATTAAATTTTTAATTAACTTCAAGTCAATTCGTTATTACAATTCCGCTATAGACGTTTCAATTTATTACATTCGCATAGAATCCAATTCCTCTTTAAACGCATACCAATGTTATCAAACTTCAATTATCTGGTAATTAAGATTACCTGTATCGTTTTAATAATTATTTCCAATTAATTGCGACGGAATGAATGTCGTCTTCCTGGAAACGAAAAATTAAAAGTACCCGGAAACCGTTGCACGGAGCATCATTTCATTTGGAAATGCCTCAATTTGAAACGTAACATTGAGTAATCGCTTTGTACTGCAAATTACTTGTGCGGTGCGTTTCAGAAGAAACCTTGTCGATAAAGAATGATATAAAACAAGGTGACTCATTTAAACATTCATTTCACACACACACAAAATTTATATATTAAGCGATGACTGCAATTGAAAAATAATCATTGAGACAGTCAACAGAATTTCTTGAATTTGTCGGATTTCCGTTGATAATAAAATATAATTGATGAGTTTTTGCCGCTGCGTCTGTTAACCCCAGGTCTATCGATTTTCGCGTCGCCGTGGCTGCCTGCGTTCTACGGTTAAAACAAAAAAAATGAAAATAGAATCGGCATGGAAACAGGGAAATCAAGGTCAAAGTAAATATAGTAATAATAGATTTTCCATTCGACCTTTCATTTCAATAGTGTTCCCTATTTACAACGAAATTGTACTTAATACGTCCATCCTTGAAATACAATATTTAATGCGTTCTGTTTGTTTTTCCCTTTTTATGATTATCTTATTAGTGATTACGTATTCTGGAAATGCTAGTAATGAATTCATTTACAACTATAATCAAGCAGAAGTATTTCTGCGCAATGGGAATCGCGATCTCCACACTTGTGCAGTTGTAAACAGAAATTGAAACGTAATCAAGTGACCGAAGGCTATTAGGCGAATGAGATTGCAAGAAGATATTTTTGCCGCAATAAAGTCTACAATTTGCTGCTAAGTATCAGTATGGGTTGCAAGAAAATTATCCATTAAGGATAATGATGCGTTTCAGTGAAAATCTGTTTGAAACGAAGAGGTTTCAATCGCGAAACCGTTAGCAGAACAAATATATTATGAAGCAAACAAACTGGGGGGGAAAAAAAACGCGCGCTCCTCTTGTACGACTATTTTTATGATTATTTCCTCTCTCTGCAGCATTAAGTAGAATAAATTCATTGCATTTGGATACAGTTAGACGGAGGCAGTAAAATACAAACGTTGCAGCAGCAGCAACAACAACACAAGATGAACAAGTTTCATAACGTGCTGCTCACTTTGCGTCGTCTCTCCTCATTCACACGGAAACAAACACCGTTATGCCACGAAAAGATTCATAACCGCAGCAGAGACAATTATCGTTCGGTTTTGAATTTGGTCGCCACAAATCCAATTTGTATTCGTGGTTTATTGTTTTGACGGTGTGTTATTATATGAATGAAATATGCGACCACTTTACTAGCAACAGATCACAGAACGCACACACCCTTCGTGATCTTCAATTTAAATAATTCCGAGCCACGCGTCCACTCCCCCAACTTCTTCTACGCGCTCGTTAATCGCAATTAAAAGCCTTTCTTACTTCCGTCAATTACGGCCGACTATGTACTAGCTTTTCGCACTAGATCAACAACAAGAAATTGCTAGCAAACTTATATTATAATAATTATCTAATTCCACTAGTATTAACATATGCATATATTTTACTACTTGTTTGCAGCATTAATAAAGATGTTCTTGCAATGCAAAGTTCAAGCGTAACTTTTACCCATTCAATAATAATTCACATTAAACTTTAAAAATATACAATTTTCTTATCAATACGTTCATGTAAGCAATAATTGCGCAATTCATATTTCCTAAGAACAAACAACAATTATGACATTCCATTTTCAAGTTCACGTTCTATTTTGTTTACATTTCCTCTGTACATGTACATGATGTTTTACGCTTGTAATCATAAATGTGTGTGTAATGCGTCTGGATCATTCGCTGATGATTGCAGAAACGTCTGTCAGTTGCACGACGAAATAGAGGAAAATATTGACAGCCAAAACTTTGTTTGCACATGCAAAAAGGCTCGAAAGAAAGTGTTTTTATTTGTATATATTTATATGTCATTCCTATATTTTTAACGCATTCGTGTATCGACGTATAACCTTTAAAGGTTATATACACATCGAGAAGACGATTTGCACGATAAACTTTCCTTGAACCGGGCAACAGCAGCAGCAGCAATTATACAAGAGATTGTGAGTCACGAGAGTTCTCCTAAACAGCACAAAATATTAGAGAAAGAAAAACACGCTCGGCAATTTGAAAAAGAAACCCGTAACCTTTCGTTCCGAAATCCATATGCGATTCGACGATTATGGAGATATACGAATCCAGTACATATACCACAATATTCTCATAATTGTATTATAGATAAACCGCGCCAATCACATTTCATAATTTTAATTAACCGAAGAGTAGTAATTTGATTCAAGTTAGATGTACATCTCAATTGTTAATACAATACTCAATTGTAAATATCGATCAGAAATGCAAACATTTCATTGCCAAAGGAGGAAACGCACCTGCAGGCACGTATGTTCTAAGTCATCGGTGCAGAAAATCCAGCCCGCAATTATATACGTATAACTGTTAAAATTTGCCCGGTAATTTACATCAGTAGTGAAGCAGATCCCTTCTTCTCCTCCTCCACTTCTTAGCAATAATAATCCTGCAATTAATGACCGAGAAAATTAAGAGAAAAGAAAAGCGTTATAAATA